CGCGAGGTGCGTGCTCCTCCACAGCACAGACGGTAAGTATGGCATCCCGAATCTTGACGTAGCGTTCGAGCATGGTAAAGTCGAAGACCTTCCGGTGGCGTTCGACTTGATAGGCTTCAGATTAGTTACTCTCCCGAGGTTTGAGACGTTGTTAGGCTGATACAGCTGAATCATCAGAGCTCGACTCATATCGAGCTGTTTCTGATAATGCTTTTAAAGCGCTTAGCCGCGAGGTTAAACCGATAACTGGAACAGCAAATCAGAGGGATTCCGAGCTTGGCTGCGATGACCTGATTGGTCGGGTGGTTGTCACGAATACAAAACCGCACCATATCGCAACCGTTCCGACACCCTACCCCTTTCCGACATGTTTCCGACAGTTCGGATCCGCCAATCAGATCATGACGGTGTACTCAGATTAAGTACGTTTACACTAAGTACGGTCGCTTTTTTAAGTACGACCATCCCAGTCAGCTTTGGAAAGGGAGTTCGAAGGCGCAAGGAAATGCTCTAAAGAGGCCTGTAGGCCGAGAAAACTCATTTTTTTGCTTAGGGGCATTATAGGCTTCACAGCACTGTGCTCAACAGCCAGCAAATTCATGAATGAGACCCGAAGCCAGGGTGAGGGGCCACTATTAGAGGTTATTTTAAAATAATGACATATAAGCCAAAAATAGTGACATCATTGTCGTAGGCCAGTCATTTGGATTAACCTCATTCAGGTTTTTTGCTCAGCCAATAAAACATCGTCACTTATCAAACCTTGCCTAGGTCTTTTACTTAGCCAATCAAGCAGCGCCACAAATTACCGACAGGGGCCTTGTGGTCTCAGTCCTCTTTTTCGAGAGCCACCCCAGCAGATCTCCCGTAGCAAAGGACCAGTCCAGAGCACAGTATGCCATTGCGCACACGAATATCGCCGGCACTGCTGGTGCAGCGCTCGGATGGTAACGAGTGGGGGGTCCAATTCCCTGCTGTCGGCTTATGATGTTTGCGAAGAGTTGCAATTCATTAACATCTACTCACTTGTCTTACGCATGTCCTACGAATTGAAGTATGTCTTGGGTTGATGTAGGCGCAGGATCAGCAATTTTGTTTGAGGTGAGGTGTGTACGGTACGTCGTGATACGGCCGTCGAGGGCTCCTAAGCGATGAAGTTTGCGCATCTCACGCAGTACGCTAGCGCTGCCCTTTGCTCGGATCCCTTGTCCACTCAGGAAGCCGAGGACCGCCGATTCTGCACGTTGGCCGACCTCGAGAGCGCGATCCTTGTAGTCCTCCGATCTCTCGTGAAGCTGGAACCCGCCCTCCAGGAAAAGCTTCATGTACGCGACGATCAAGCGGTAATCTGACTTCTTTTGTCGGTCGTTAGAGCTCCAGACGCGAGGCTGCCGTGTGTACCACTCGAACCAGATCGATGACAGGTTGGTAGTCGCTTTCTTTCTGCGTTTCGCTGCAGGTGTTTGAGCTGACGAAACTTGCTCCTGTTCTGTAGTTTGGGCTGGCTCTTCGTGCGCAGGTCGCTTAAGGATGGCAGCCTCTAGCACCAGCAGGCGTGCAGACAACAGCCTATTTCTTTCGATAAGCTCATTAATGACAGCAGCGTGATGACACTCCGTTCGATTGCAGCCGTTCTTTTCAGTGTCCTTCCTTTGTTGAGCAGGTTTGGAGGCGACATGGCTCAGCGCGACCGACCACGCCAGCAAGTCGGTGTGGGAGATGTCAGCTGCTTCCAAGCATTCTTCCACTCGAACAACGAACAAGCTCCTGGGTTCGAGAGTCTTCACTTCCGGGAAATGCCTTATTAGGTAGGCGGTAAGGACCCCAATTACCTTGCGACTCACGTTAAGCTTGTTGTTCTTCAGCCCTACACAGGAAGCGAACAGAAACTCCTGCAACCGGGTCATGCGCTCCTGAGCCCCATGGTCGAGAATGGCAACATCAAGAATCATCGGTGCCTCGTCCGCAGCCCACCCGCTCAAGACCCGTGCTACTTTACGGTCCTCGCGTGGCGTGTTGAATACGTAGGCGAATCCTTTGTTGGTGCGCGTCATGTCCCATGACCCACGATCAAAGATCCACTGTGCAGCCAGCCGCTCGTCCCCGTTTGCATGCTGCGCCCCGCCCCGCCTGATGGAGTGCGAGGTCAAGTTGGCTGAGGCTCCTTCCGGCTCCGACACCCGCTTCAGGAACTGGTTCACATACGCTTGAACCCCGTCGTCACCGCGAGCTTGGTTGGTCGCTGAAGGGTTGGCTGCAGCGGAGCTCGGGACGCTTCGCAGAGTGGCAGCCGCCGGGTCAGTCATCCCTGCTGCAGGAAGCTGCGAAGAGGTGGCAGCATTGACCGAAGGTACTCGTAGTACATCGAGAAGGGGTGCTGCTGCATCAAGTGAGGGTGCAGACGGTGTCACAAGAGAAGGAAGCTGGCTTAGCAGGGACACACAAGGCGACTCATGCATCACCAAGGCTACTGCGAGCGTGTGCAGCGGGCAGGTCACAAAATCCGCCCGATCAGGTACGAGCGTGAGGCCTTGCTCCTCAGCTGTTTTTATTCGTAGCATCCGAATGTAGAAAACGTTGTCAGCTGACATTGTAATGTGCTGCTTTGTGACGTAGCCGAGATCTGATGAACGGCCGAAGCAATGCCACATAAGGCACGCAAGCGCTGCATCTTCGTAATCCGAGGCGACGGATGCTGTTTTGTACACATAGCATATTAGTGAGCGCAAATCCGCCTTTGTACAAGGTGGCGCCTTGTTAGTAAATCCTCCATTATCACGTTTTAAGCAGTTTTTTTCGAGAGTCTTCCCTTGTTTAAGCAAAATTAGCTCGGTTGGTACTCTAAGATGAGGATACTCATCGAAAAACCAAAGCTTCACGTTTCTAAAGTAAGAAATGGCGGTGTTGGGCGCCAACTTACCTTTCTTACCTTCGCATGTGGCGAGATAGTAGCCAAAACGATCCATCACGGCCGCTAAGCTCTTTCCAGAGCTGTCACTGAAAATGCATGCTCGGACAACGTCCATGGATACATCCTCGACTTTAAGCATACGCTCGAACGCGCCTATTCCGGTAGTACGCGCTTTTTGCGTGTTTGTAGGGATAAGTGCGGAGAGGCTCATGCTGGTTGCTGCTTGTCTTTTCTGCTTCTTGTTAACTGGACTTGGCTGGTTGAGTGTACCTTAACACTACTGCTCAATTTTAACCTAAAGTAGGAGGTATACCGCATTGTCGGAACCACAAAAATATTGACATATATCTTACACGACTTAAATTCAGTATTAGTTTCAAAATAGTTAGCTCTAGCTTCCGACAAATATTTGTCAGAAAGTGTCGGAATGAAGAGCCTGCTCCTATGCGACCTAATTGGCTGAATTAAGGTACATTGTAGTATATGATTGGATATTAATCACATATTCACAATCTTGCCTTTGTGTCTGTCGGAAAGACGTGTATATTCATCCATATCAAGCTTTTTCCCATAAAGACTCAGCACCGACTTAATGATCTTGAGATGAACAACAGCGATCCTGATGCTGTTCATAGACACTGCACGCCGTTCGCCAGATACACAGCAAATACGTCCGGAAGTTACAAGTCTACCCATCCGACAGAAGGGAGACCCCCCCCATTTTGGAGACGATCGCTTACCGACATAGCGCATGTAGACTACAGTAGTCGATTTCATGATTACAACCTCACGCGTGAGCTTGCTTAATAATTCCATGATCGGTTTCGCTAAATGATCCAGCACATTCTGAAGTAGATAGTTAGAGTTTCTTCGTCTACAAAGCCGAATATGTCCATCATTGAGGTGGCCGCGGCTTGGACGGTGTACTCCTCCACATAATTAGCGTGCTTAGTGTAAAGGCTACCGAGATGGTTGTTGATACCCGCTCCGGGCGCTTCCTTAAGGCTACACCGCACTTCTTGTATTTGAAGAGACCTTCACCGAGGACCGCATAGAAGAACGTCCAGAGCTGACGCGATGCCATTGAGGTAGAAGTGGCGGGAAGGGTTGTATCTTGGAAGACGAGTACGGAAATGTTGCATCCAACAGAGGCTGCGCGCCAGGTGGGGTTTCAGTGCGAGTGTGAAATAATTGGTGAGCTGTGACTACAGCAAAATGGGTAGGCGTGTCAAAACTTTGATGGGATATTTCACAACTGTGTACTAAACCAGAACGCTAAAATAGCAATAATATGTTATTTGGTCAATACAATATCAGTGCTATTGAAATTAAATTAGTATTTCTATGCCCTGGTCGAAGGCGTAGGCGGTGTACATAATGCTCGGTTGGAAACGTGTTGGTAAGGTGGTTTGAACTTGGCAAATATAAGAAAGGCAGCTTCGGCACGTCAAATTTATCGGTGATGATAACGGCACTACGACTACGATAGCATGGTACGACTTAGCGAGCGGCCATGCAACCCGGCGTAGGTACGACGGAAATCCGCTATATGATACCACGATCCAACGGTCGTTTATATTCAAAAAGCAGGTGGGTGGGGGGAGGGTTAAATCGACTTTGTAATGTATTTATGGTAACTTGTTGGTAGTGATAATTTTTGATCCGAATTGGACCCTAAGGATCGCTATTAGCACATGATAATGCCATGCCACGTCATTGCGCTGGGATGACACAGCTAGCATGATTTTGAAAGAGGTGAGCGGAGTGGGGACTTCGAAGCCATGCGCTTCTTAAGTGTTTGACCTCTTCGGCTGCAGCTTTGGCAGTCTGAACATGCGCAAGACTCGGCAAGGGAGAAAATTTGAGAGACTTTTTTCCATCATTGCCAGCTTTGAGCGAGCCCCTAGTCTCGACCGGAAGGGCTCTGAACTTCGAGGCGAATCACACGTCGCTGGAGAACGTCAATTGGGTCTTTTCGACTGGCTGTTTAAAAGTCCCACGGCGGCGCCTGCAGCGCCAGCATCGAACAACGACAACGACAACGACAACGACAACGGCATCAACCCCATTTTTGGTGGAGACATTTACAATCAGGACCCAATTTTTTCTTCTTAGTCACGTCCTCTTCCACTTATAAATGTGTTTTTTTTAACGTTTTGTTTTCTCTTGCAAGTACCGGTAAACCCTCCGCATTCGATTCAGAATTTATGCCGCGTTCTCCAGCACAAGCGCAATACCCTGGCCGCCTCCAATACAAGCCGATCCCACCGCATACTTCTTGCCTGTGCGTTGCAGAGCGTGCGCCAGGTGGGCCGTGATGCGGCTTCCCGAAGCGCCCAGCGGGTGGCCAAGTGCAATTGCACCGCCGCTCTGGTTCACAATGTCTGGGTCGATATCCAGCTCCTTGACGCAAGACAGCCACTGCGCAGCGAAGGCCTCGTTGATGTCATAAATGTCAATGTCCGACTTCTTGAGTCCCGCACGCTTCAGTGCGCCCGTGATAGCTGGCACGGGGCCAATGCCCATGATGGTCGGGTCCACACCGGACACCTGGTAGCTCACAATACGCGCCAAAGGCGTCAAGTTGTGCTTCTTCACAGCCTCCTCGCTAGCGAGTAGCACGGCTCCAGCACCATCCGAGATGCCAGACGCGTTACCTGCCGTCACAACGCCATCCTTCTTGAACACAGGCTTCAGTTTAGCCAGTTTGGCCAAGTCCACAGTGCGAGGAGACTCGTCAACTGCGAACTCCTCCGTCTTGCGTCCTGCCTTGACTTCTAGAGGCGCAAGCTCGGCGTCGAACCATCCAGCGGCCTGCGCCTCGGCCCAGCGTGTCTGACTGCGCAGTCCGAAGGCATCGCACTCCTCACGTGTGATATTGTGCTTCTCAGCCAGGTTCTCGGCCGTCATTCCCATCGGCGTCTTGGCGTATGAGTCCGTAAGAGCGGACCAGAGCGTGTCCTGTAGATTCAGACCAGCGCCCAGGCCCACGCCGAAGCGGGCCTGATGGCCGTAGACGGCCAGCGGACTCTGTGACATGTTCTCAGCGCCACCACAGAGCGCGATCTCGGCGTCGCCCAGTAAAATCTCCTGCACTCCACCCACGACGGACTGGAAGCCGCTGCCGCACAAGCGGTTGATGGTGAGCGCAGGCTTCTCCTGTGGGATGCCAGCCTTCAGCTGCACGTGGCGCGCAATGTACGCGCCGTCAGGAGACGTAGGCGCCACATTGCCCACCTGCACCATGTCCACGAGCGCTGGATCCAACTTGGCCGCCGCTAGTGTCGCCTTGGCTGCGTGTGCACATAGGTCTGTAGCGGTGATATCCTTAAGCTTTCCGCCAAAGTTGCCGAACGGAGTGCGCTTGGCCGCCACGATGTACACGTTCTTGAGCGTCATGGAGCAAGTAAGAGAGCAACGAGTTTCGAGTCTACTGTATAGGGAGGATTGAGGAGTGAGACTCTGACGTTTTGCTCGCTTGAAGTTGTCGTGAAGATGCTGACGTGAACAATCTTAGGAGCGTTTCCAAATAGAAATCGTTTCTAAGCGCTCTGTTTTATTTACCGGAATACGTACCGTGTTGCAGGACGATCGCAATGGTGCAAAACAAGATGACACTTTAGTTTTTGATCGTTGTTTGTCGTCGTTAACCTAAATACTTTCTTCATATGACGCCAATTTCGCTGGAGGTTCCAGCGGGGGATCCAAATAGTCAAAAGAGTCGCGACGCCGCTTACGGCCGAAGTTCTGGCGCTCGATCTGCCATGCACGTGCAAGCTTATTGAACTTGAACAGCTTGTTGGTCTCCAGTACTTCCGCATTAAGCGGACGAGCGTAGTTCGCCTGAGTGAACACGGCACCACTAGGCACCGCAGTCGCGGGAATGGACAGGATATCTCGTGCAAGCTTCGCCAGTGACGGGAAGCGCGTTTCGTTCGACTTCCACCACAAGAATGGGTCTGATCGCTTGTCTCGAATCAGCGTTGCGTCAAAGAACCGATCTACTTCATCACCGTCGATCGTGTAGTCCGGCATACCTTCTCCAATATCCAGCAGCTTCTCAAACGTAGTGTAAGCCGCTGAAGCATCATGTCGCGCTTGGTCGTCATCCAATCGAGCGTCTGAGAGCGCATCGTAGACACTCGTTCGCAGCATTTCTCGCAAAAATGTCTTCTTCGCAGCCTTGTCCACTGATTCATTCGAAAATCGCGGGTCCAAAATCTTGGCTAGTCGAAAATACGGCGACGAGTGCTCCGTGTGATACGACTCGAGACTGGCTTTAACTTTCAAGCACACGGTTTGAATCTTGTTGAACGCACTCGCGGTAAAATCCGAAGCCGAAGCAGCAGTGCTCTCACAAAGCCCCACGATCGCCTTGCAAACATTGATAGAAGTACTGAGCGAAATATGCTTCTGGTCGCTTTGACACGTCGCCATCTGCATGCATTTCTGTAGAAATGTAGCCACCCACACCAGTAGATCCCACTCGATTTCTTCGAGCAAGAAAACACTCATATTATGGGTAGCATCACCATACAAAGCGTTGATAGTGTCCTTTATCTTGGCGCTCTCCATGATCATTGTGATAGTAGTCTTCCAGTTCTTAGGTGAATCCAAATTAGGCAGTTGGTCTGGATACTGCAGTCCCACTTCAGTTGTACGCAGTGCGAAATGCTCTTGACTTTCCGTCGTGGACTTGAGGAGTGAGAGCAACGAGCGGAGCTTGACGATCTCGTGACGAATCTCCTTCAATGCTGCGAGTACACCCGCATGAATGAGATGACCCAGACACGTCACGTTCCAGTCCGGAGCAATGTTATCTAATCCTATAATTGATTTGATCTTTTCACGAAGAAAGCCCATCCCCACTCCAGACTCATTACCGGTAGGTGTCACCCCACAGAGTAATTTATTGCCGAGGCCCCAGTTGTTCTGGAGCACATTGAACAACAAGTCCGACATGAAATAGGCGTTAAACTCCGGTGGACAGCCTTCCAGACCCACTTGGATGGTTTTATACTCCCATTCGGCATTGATCCAGTGCAGATGAATGGCCATATACCCTTTGTACACTGACCCGGACCACGTATCGCACGAGAACGTGATGCGTCCAACCACGGAGCGATTAAAATACTCCCCCACGCGTGTGAATAGCGCATAATACTTCCGTTCCATGGCCTTCTGCAACGCATCTACCGGTGGAATAACCGGTTTTACACCTACAGCCGCCAGCACGTCCAGGAATTTCTCATGCTGCACCACACCCAAGTCCTGTTGGTCTTCTACGATCCACTCAATCAGTGCACTACTTAAATTCCGCATCCGTTGACGCTTCATACCTGGGTAAAGTTCAGAATTTCATAAATGTTGGAAAAAAAATAAAAATAAAAAAAATATTACCTGCTTGTTCGTCAACCGGCATCACAATTGTGTCCTTCTTTTGCGGGGCTGTCTTCTTGCCAGCTGCCCCTCCATTGGCTGCCGCTCCATTGGCATTCTTCTTGCCTTTCTTGCCAATGGGAGTGCCATTAGGGAACTCGTTGTGCCGCTTAGCGTGTCGCATCATACTCGACGTGCCATGCCGCGTGCTGAAGACCTTGTTGCATATCGAGCACTTAGCGGAGTCGATGAGTCCGTCGCGCAGGCCGCTGCTGGAGATTGGCGTGAATGTTTCCCACACGACGCTCGTGAGCTTCTTCTTGCGCACCGTCTCGTCTTCAAAGGTCCCTGACATGGAGATCGGTCGCTTAGGAGGTAGATCCGTGATGGCCTCGATCCTGCCAGCCACAGCGGCCCTCGCAGGGGTGTCCGCGCCTGCCCAGCTGTCCTCCACCGTGGTCCAAACGCTACGCTCGCTCGCGTCTCTTATAAGCTGAGTTCGAAGAAGAAAATTACACATTCGGCATGGCAGATCAAGCGCGGAGAGAATGGAGGTTATTAGTTAGCGGGAATGGCGATGGATGTAGAGAATACACACACGCACACGACACTGGACACGACCAAGCGAGCAATTTACCAGTGAGCCTGGAGGTTGCAACTCAAGGGTTGGCGGCTCCCTGACGGGCCGCGCTGCGCCCATTGGATGAAATGAAAACCTCGATGTGTGTATGGAGAAGGGTAAATGGGTTTGACTGCTTGAGCCCACACAAATCGGTAATACCGAAGCAGTCACCCTGCGCGCCACCTCGATCCCGATGCAAGAGCGCTGAAGTGCTAGAACGTCGATGAAGAGTATCAGTGTGTCAGCACTACCAATATGAAAGAAGGATATGGGTATTAAATGGTTTGTTGGCTAGGCTCGGGGTCGATTCTGATCAGAGATTGCTACCGGTAAACCGGTTAATTTAGCAGTTTGGACCGTTCCAAACGGGGTGGGCTCGACCCAAATGGAGCACTTCAACTTCCTTTGATGGAGGTCAGGAAAAACCGCATCGACGTCACGTAAGATATGCACACGAGACGTAAGCTCACACTTGTGCATCCGTCAAGTCTTGTGCCACGATTACCGCTCATGCCTTATTTCCTTCACGTGCTCACAGCAGCAGGCTCGTTGTAAGACGGGCATATCGCTGAGCAAATCAAATGATGCCACGTTCTGTTGATCCTTCGACTGATCTCAAGAAGAGGTAGTATGAATCAGCAAGCTGAGTCGGAAGTGCGCGTCTTAACCACCGCAAAAGCATTTAAATTATCAAAAGTCGACGCGAAGTGTACGGTGCATGCAGAGATGAACGCATTTGTGTGAACACAAAGAGAAAGTGACGTGCTGAACCACATGTATTCATGCAAGGCTTACCCTCGCCGCGTGAGTAAGAGTAAACGGTGCGCAGACGACTAAAAAAAATCAGTGCTGCGACCCAGTTCAACATAATATGGAGGAGGTCGCCTACGAAGCCTTCTCCATCAGGTGGATGGGTTTAAGGATGGAGATCTTATTCGTCTCCACAATGTACCCATTCATGACCATCTCATCCAGAATAAAGTGCGCCTTCTCCAAGTTAAACATGATCTGCACGTGACACAACATGGACGTAAGTTCAAGACACATCCGCAAGCCTAGCCAAATAGCCCACTTACGTCAAGCTCACACTGCAGTCGCAGCACAAATCAACAGCAAATACAACAGCAACAACACAAAATCAGTTACAACAGCACTACACTGCGCAGCTCCATCCTAAACGTACCACACTCTCGAAGTACTTGTCCATGGTCTCCACAAGCGCGTGGATAAACTCCAGAATGCCCAGTTCGTTCTGCAAAGTATTCATAATACTGTAAATTAGTACCCGATCCAGCATATCACTTATCATCGACAAGCACCTCCGAGTCGTCGTCCTTGACGCCCACAATGAAGAAGAGAGACGCGTATCTTCGGTAAATGACCTTGTATCCGCGGTACTCCACGAACGAGCACTGTATACACCGTAGCAGTCAGTCGCGGCTACTAAATCCATAAAAAGATAAGAAGTGGCCTAACCTGCGTCTCATTACGACCCAGACACTTGCGGATGATCTCCGCCTCGAGCGCCACACGCTCCTGGATGGACAGGAAGTCGTAGTACTGAGCCAGCCGCGTCTGGCCTTGCTTGTTCACCATCAGCACGAACTTGATCATGGTCTACGAGTTTCGGGGAGGCACGAGGAGTGCGAACGCGGAGGGTCTTTAGCGTCACTTTCGATGCTACGTTAGCAACGTGGCCTAATGGGACAGAAACCGATTTCTTAATTGAACACCACTTTTAACAGGATATGTGCACCACACAATGATCGTTTTGCAACTTGAAGTGAGCCAAACGCCGTTATTTCGGAGGCCATGATCTTCGAGGTGCTCCAGCAGGTCCTGAACGAGTTCTTCGTGGACGTTCAGGAGGATAATGTGTCCTTCTATGCTGGAGACTTGTTCGGTCAGCTGCTACCGTTTTATTATAAAGTTGGCCTTCATCTTCTGATCGTTTCCTTCATTGGTTTGTAGAACCCAGCCACTTCAAACTCAGCGACGTCTTCCTCCAGACATCGGTGGATTTTCTACAATGATACCAGTAGAAATAGGATTATTATAATACTGATAGGTTTTATCACCTGTAGGTCATTAACTCGCTGCAATTGCCGTTCGAGTTGTCTGCTGGATACCTTGGCAACGTCACTGTCGAGGGTCTCGTGGGTGCTGTGGCTGGTTGGCCACTGGAAGTCAGTGTTAGCGACCTCTGTCTCGTGTTAAAGCCCCGAAAAGTACAATGGGAGAACGAACTGCTCATCCGCTACGCAAGAGAGCTACTTGTCGCCATCTGCCAATGTCTCGGGAGGCCAGCGGCCGTAAAGAAAGACAGCGCATCTTTCATTTCTCCTGCAAAGTGGATATGGGTGCGTAAAGTTGTTTTTTTACTGTATTCAATTTCTAATGCTCACTGTATGCAGAGTCGAATTAAAGCGGTGGGGGCGGATATGACAGTCCAGTTGGAGCGCATTCATATTCGAGTGGAGGTACGTAGGCTTTCAGTGTGAACACTATCTAGCAGAATGTCTAAACGCTTTATCGCTGGATGATAAGAGTCCACGCAGTGACAATCTTGTGGCCTACGGACTTTATATTCCGGTGCGTATGCTTTTGATAGCCGTTATATAGGACATATTACTTATTATTGACTGCTGTAGTTGATTCGCTTCGCCCCACGAGAAGTGGAAGAGCAAATTCTTTACCGACGGCAGCAACCAGGTGTCGTGTATCCCAAAGCGTCCATTAACTTCTTTTCCAAGCTGCTCACGATCGAAAACGTGTCATTCTACACTGATCTCGATTCCAGTACCTACTGGACAGCAGCAAAAGAGACCGCAGAGCACCCAATAGCGGTTTTGCTGACGTCTCAAGAGCCAATTACTTCATCGAATCAACGCACACTTGAAGAAGTGTTGAAACGTTTCAAGGAATGCGCTCTCAGACCCTTCAGACGTGCTAAACAACGCGAGTTAGCGTTTATTCGCGTGCTGTGGATCAAACTTGACTTCAAACGAGCGCCACAAAATCCCAGCGACAGCAAAAGTCCAGTGAGACCTGTTCTGACAGCAGTGGACATCGCTACGGAAGAGATCGAGGTGAAAGTTGACTTTGATCAAGTTGCAATGACGCTAGAAGAACTCGAGCACGTGGTTGACTACTTCAAACGCGCACGCACATGGCATTGGCGTCCTTCCTGCATCGATCGAGAGCATCACGCACCGCCGTCTGTCCAGTTGTCGGCCATTGCTCTTCTCCCGCTGCCATTAAGTGACGAGGAACGTGCTTCACTGGTTTTCTCCATCGATAAGCAGCGCAAGTCCAGACTTTGGTTCCGGGCCATGTGGAGGTACGCTTTCCGTTGTATCGTCGACCAAAAACTCAAGTCAAGACGAGAAGAGACAGATGAAGAGACTGATGCCGCAATTTGGTGGCGTTTTAACGACATTGTCGACAAGGAACTGCAGCAAGTACGTCGTCAACGCTACATGCATTTGTACGCTCGCAGTTTGAGTCCCGATGCCATGGAGATTGCGTTATACGGTCGAGGAAAGGCTCTTCTGAGTTTATACTCCCAAGATCCGGCTAATAAACCTCCAGCATCTCCAAGACGTCGACCTCTGCCAGTATTTGATCCATTGACTCAAGAAGAGCAGTGGGAACTCTCCGACTTCGTCACCACCATGTCCGTCTACGAGCAACGAGTGTGTCGAGCTCTAGCAGAGCAGGAGCTTCGACGAGATTATACAGCAGCTCCTCCCTCTCCAACACGGAAAGTCTCGTCCTCGATGGAGTTTTCAGTGGCGCCTACCGACTCAACATCGCACCATGGTCGAAGTTACTCGGTCGATAGCATAGCTTCAACGTCTCCACATCGACCTGCCAGTCCAGACGCAACCGTGAGCCGTCATAAGCGAGGATTGACACTTGCGTTAACACCCGGTGAGCTATCCGTTCGTCTCGCTTCTTCGCCAACAATACGACCTCATTCCGCTTCAACTAGCGATCTACCGAGTCCAACTAAACACGAAAGCGCGTTGGACTTGGAACCACTTCGAGCCTGGATCTTCAAGCAGCGACAACTAGGCCTGCACACCACATCTTGGTTCGAGAAGCAGTTCTTCCATACTTGGGTGCTCAATCCAACCAAAGTTATTCCTTTACTCAACTGGCACATTGGGCCCGTGAGAGTTCGTCTAACAGCAGGTGATGCTGATCATGTACAAGTAACGAAACGTGACATTGGAGTCGAAATCGGCATCGAAGGTTGTAGCGGCGCCATGCTCCTCAGTAGAGTTCCGTTCTTGCGCATGCTCGTGGAATTTCGCGTCGGTCTTCTCCATGTGACGCTGATGCGAAAGCCTCAGCTCGATACCGACGTGGATTCAGGGGATCTGTACAAATGGATCTCGAGTGGCTACATCCGCTCACCGGAAGACGGATTCTTTTACGTAGGTCTCAAATATTCCGCCCACGAAGTAGCAGCCGAGCCGAATGGTAGAGTTCAGTTCGTGGGGAATCCTGAAGAGGAGCTGGGGTTAAAAGGACGAATGTGCGTTGGCCCGATTAAGATCGACTGCAACGAAGCTGCGATCAGAGCTGCTATGGGACAGAATGTTGCTGATGAACTTCAGACGTCAAGTAAGTGTCTTTGCAGCTTCCGTTACCTGTGTGTTCTCCACTAATACCTGTCACTTCCCAACAGATACGGACGTTGCAAGTGCGACCCACTTTTCGGTGCTACAAGATGCTTACCACAACTTCGTGCGTCTCGTTGTTCATCTGCCAAAGCGAAAAGGGTCCCGCAAACGGAATCCCAAAGACACTAGTCCACGCGCCAAGAAGAGACCTGGTGTGTCCAATGTCACTGATCCAGTTCCACCTGACCAGCAGAAGCTCGAGAGAAGTGCGAGAAGAACACGAATGTTCCACGCATTGCTACTGCGCTCTTCGACATTTGAGGTAGAAGTCGGCACTCTCGAAGTCAATCTATCAACGTACACCAGCCACATCGAAAAGGCTCTTCGTGGCCAAGTACCGAGGCGTTTTGAGGCGATCAAACCGTCAGAAACGCGAGAAGAAGTGAACGTCAAGCTGCCCTCGATGATATGTCGACTGCAGAATCGTCCGGCGATGAACGAGTGCGTCGTGGATGCCGCCGGTGCGCGTGTCATCTATCGATCTACCGAGCAAGGTCGTGCCGCCGTAATTCGACACCTCGCGCAATTGTTCAAGCTGTAAGACAGGTACTATCACGTCGATATGGCCAGGTAAATTTCCTTCTTCTGCTTCGCCTCTCTCTTCAGTGAAGACTCTAGACCTTCATGCCCTCTGTTCTTCAGTCGTTCCGCCCCAGCTGCCTTATTTCTATCAACACGAGTTCTCAACGTAACTCTTGACAAACTTCTCCGCATGAGTTCCTCTTCACGAGGTGTCAGGGACCTGTCATCTATGTGTCCTGCTGCGTTAAACGCACCGATAGCAGACATACTCGTCGAGTTGCCAAGTTTCTTCTCTCTAGGATCTCTGGACTGCCTTAATGTGACGGCTTGGTTGCTTGAATTCCTGTGATCTTGTCCTGCATTCAGTAGCGGAGATCCGACACGCGATGGATTGAGAGATGCACGTGCCTGTAGCCGAGAAACGAGCACAGGTGGGCAGTACTTGTTGCTACTCGGGTTCGACGCAACAAGCATGTCGTTCATCGACCTTGTGTTGCTGTTAGCTCCTCCAGGTTGTCTGAACTTGTCTTGAAAGCGCCTGTCGTTCAGTAAAGGGTCCACCACGACACGTTGATATCGCGAGTTCCGCTCCAAAAGCTCCACGAAGCAATCGCCTGCTTGCTCTTCGTCGTCCGATAGATATGCTACCACACCAAGCAGTAAGTAAGCGATACTCATACACACAGAAGTCACGGAGTATCCTACCTTCGCTTTGCAATGGCACTCGACCCATTTGAACATTCAGCACTTGATTAGGAGAAGCTCCAAACGTGGGAAAGCCAGGACTCCCACCTCGTAGTATCTCGTCCAGCGTCGATTTCCGGCGAGATCTTGGACGTCGACTGTGCTGCTCAGTCCGCATCTGCTTCTGCTGATATTTGCGTGAGACCTTACTCATGGTATCGTCGAAGAAAACAATGTAGTCACCCAACCGATCAGTAGTCGTCATCTAATGGCATAACACAAGTAAGAATAAATAGTTTAAAGCAGTTCAGCGTTGAGTTCATCGTACCAGATGTGCGAGGATAAAGAGCAGACGGAAGAACTCGCTTTTGCCCAGTGGTGGCTCCTTCGGACTCCACTTGGTCCAACTAGCTCGCAAGATCATGGACACGGAGTTCTTGTGAAGTGTTTCGGTTTTAGCCTCCACCAGTACAAACGCGAGGTCGTAGTAGACACTACGCAGCTACATTAGATGGATACACACGTGGTGTTAGATCTACGTTGAACATAAGCCAGTGCCTCTTACAATTTCCTGGTCGATCACGTGTTTTCCATGTGCGTAGACCTTCCACCACTTGTCCAGACATTTCTCGATCGAAGGCAGTTGAACCATAAAGTTGATGTCCAATACAGTGTCGTCCAAGAACCGTAACAAGTCTTCAATGTTCATCGAGCGAGCAAACGGGCTCTTGACGTACTTGGCGTTCGCATCCAGTTCAGCTTGAGTGATAGCGTCGGCACGTTTCGCATGGATCCGCTTCCAGTCGTCTATGGCACGCAACGAGCTCACAAAGAACGGCATCGTCTCTCTCATCGGATACACGAGCTTCTGCGTCGGCATAGCTGTCCACAAGAAGCTCAATTAGTCGATCCACACACACAGTCAGCGTCTATTTACAGCCAAATCGAGGCTCACCAGGCTCTAAACATGATCATTACATGTTCACAATTAGAGTTTTAAGATCGGGGAGTTCTATCACTATCATAACGTTACCTGCCATGCTCAGCCTCCAAAGCCTGAGGAATTAGCTCCTCTCCCAGTACGTTGTCGAGGATCTCGAGGATTCACATTTCCTCTTCCGCCGACATTTGTAGCTGGTCGAGAGAAGTTGGGAGGTGGATTTCCAGCATAAGGACCTGGTCCATGCATCGGAGGGGGATGAAAAGCCTGAACTGGGCCACGCGGAGGATAATACCCTGACGCCGGTGTATTCATTGCAGGTCTTGGTCCGTGCATTGGCATGTTCATAGGGGGAGGCTGTCCATACCCCCTTGGTGCAACTTGATTCGAGTATTGCGGTCCAGGGCCCGCCATGAATTGCTGTTGTGGTGCGTACTGCTGCACTGGCGCTCCTCGGCCTCGCCCTCTGTTGCCACGTCCACGACCTCCTCGACCTCCACGTCGTCCTCCGCGTCCTTCATTCCCTCGTCCTCTGCCTTTCCGACCATTGCCATAAGGGTCAGCACGCATCGTCTGGTCATAATGATGTTGCGGTCCTTGGTGATGAGAATTGCTTGATGCTCCTGCATTCCTTGACGTCTCAGACGGTCGTTCCATCGGCTTCAACGTGAGCAAGTTGCACTTGGGGCTTTCCACATGCACGATACAATGGTGATTATATGCGTGGTCCAATAGAGCCGACCACGGCTTGGAAGAGCGCAGCGTGTTTTCCTTGCCGATCACGTAGCACGCAAACTTCGCTCGTGTCAGCGCCACATTCATACGTCGAATATCATTCAGGAAACCAACTCCAGCTTTCGGATCAGCTCGGACCGTGGACACTAATCACATCACACACACAGCCACATCGTTAGACATCTCCCTTCTTCCCAAAGACAGTAAATACTCCACGTACGAATGATAATGTCCTTCTCGCGTCCTTGGAAGCCATCGACAGTGTTGATCTCAACTTCTTGCTCGTAGCGCTCGCCCAGTGCATGGCGAAATCGATTCCTCAGCTCGTCCATCTGCTGACTGTAAGGAGTAATCATCCCGACCTTCCCGGAGATGGCGTTCGGAGGACAAGAGTTCTTCAGCGTGAGGAACAAATTCACGGCGAGCTCCGCCTCGCCAACGTTCATGCGTGAAACTGATTTCGTTGCTTTCTCCCGACTGCTGAGTAGATTCCAGAACACAAGCGGCATGAAGGCAGGGCCAAGATTGTGATACGGTTTGGCGTATTCGTCGCCCTTGACATTGTCGCCATCTTGAAGCTTGCCGCCGTAGAAATAATTCCTCGGGAAATCCGAGATCATCGGGTGGCTACACGAGATGCAAACGAACGTTAGCCATACTGCGTCCTACGCATCACACGCTGGTATCCGTACCTTCGATACTGGGTTCGTAGCATATGCACAGGATGTTCACAGCTTTCCAGGCGCTCGAATAAGCTTCGCTCGTACAGAGATTGGCCGCTGTTGCGCGAGAAAACAGTCGCTGAGAGCTGCTGAGGGTCGCCAACCAGCACGCACTGTTTGCTGCCGAACCTAATTATCCATGAAGTTAGAAGTGTGTTTGTTGGACAAGTAGAAAGCAATGGATCAGCATTATAACGCACTTCATCGGGATGATTGTGGACAGTTCGACAGCTTGGGCTGCTTCGTCCACTACCAGCACATCGTAGCGAGCGCTTGCATCCAGAGCAGCAACACCTGCGCTACTCAGCGTTGTGAACACGATGTGTGCTGTATCCAGGAACGACACTTCAAGCGATTGTCGTGTGGATTGTGACAGTTTCCCTCTCATCTCGCTCACAGCTTGTCGAGCGAACTCGTAGCGCTGTAACTCCAGCTTCACCTGATTAAAAAGAGCACACAAAGCGTCATTCATACCGCTTAATCAACGCACGACTCCATCCACGTACCTCTGAGAGTTTTTCCAAGCATCCATTGATCCGCTGAGCCATGGCCACATATGGATGATACCGCGAATAGTCGATTGGACCCCAATCCTTCGTCTCTTTTGTTGCATCAGGTGTTGTCGGTGGGGGAAAGCGTGGAGACTGAGGCATCATCATCGTCGGAGATGACGGGAAGTGGCGATCGTCAGGCAGCTTGTTCGGCGGAGGGGGTGACAGCGGAGGTGGCGGCGGTGGTGGGGACAATGGAGGCGGCGGTGGTGGTGGGGATGAAGGCAACGAACCGTGAGGCGAGCTGATGCCAGCTTCGTGGTTCTGGATAGGTCTCAGTGTCAATGACAAGGGCTCCACCGGTGGCTGAACTTCAGTCTTAGGTTCCTGACCCGGTAGCGGCTCGTCCTGTTCAGGCGCATCATCATCATCATCGTCGTCGATCTGAATAGGTTCGCTAGACGATCCAGCCCCGATGTACGTGCCCTTTTCGTCCCTTAAAGGTGTTTGCAGATTTGTTTGGGGCTGCAATGTAGCAGGGAACGGCTCATCCTGCTCCTCCTGATCTTCAGTTTTGACAGGCAGCGGTTCATCTTCTTCGGAGTTGCTACCGTCGTCCAAAAACGCGTTCAAAGCCTTCCCACTAGCTTCTGCGTTAAAAGATCCTTCTTGTTCGTCCCAAGCTGGTGGAGGAGCCCCAAAGGAAGCAGGAAACTCTTCGTCTTCCTCTTCTTCCGGCATAATAGCAGTAGATTCATCGCCTTCAAATACGCTAGTGTTGTGTATTGTACTTGCACCTCCAAGTGACGGAGCATCAGGAGCAGGAGGCGACGGGGGCGGCGGGGGAGAGTCGGGATATGCTGGAGGCGGCGGCGGGGGTGACAGCGGCTTCTGTTCAGAAGATGAAGAAGGCACTAACTCCAATGGCGGCGGCGCTGGACGAGCCTGAGCTTCAGCCGCAGCCTGGTTCTGTCGTGCTTCAGCGTGAGCAATCTCCTCTAGCGCCTTAACAGGGTCATGCTCGATCCACGCAACAATACTCCGTAATTGATCTCGTAGCATCAGCGAGTCACGCTCCACCTGACAAGAAGACGAACATCCCACACATTAGCTGAATGCTCCACAGTAAATAGCCATGAGGTATCTGCACTTACCACCATCAGCTCATGACGCAGACGCCCAATATGACCTTCAAGAACATCCAGTGGCTGGCTGCAGATCTGGTCGACTTGATTCTCCAGACCAACGCTTTGAACATTTGCACTCTGAAAAACAACAAAACAACGTTAGGCCCAGTAGAATATTTATCCTACGGGAGCAAAACGTACTAATCCTCGTCCGACGCGCACAATTTTGGGGAAATATCGTCGTCCTTCTCCATCACAGAATCCTTCCTCGATCACTTTGCTCACAATATTGTCGACTGCTGCATTCGACGGCGCCGTCACTAAGATGTGAGGCTTTTCATTGCCGACGTGGGCCCAGGCTTTAGCTGTCTCATTGTCCGGTCGACGCGCCACGTCCAATACCGCATTATAATACCGGTTATACTCGCGCAAATGCAGCGAGTTCAGCAGCCCTTTCAGTGTGGTGGTCTTGCCGGTACCTGGGGGTCCCTTAATCAGCGTGAACCCCTCCGAGGTGGCTGCTGCAGTGATCGCTTCTCGCTGCGAGTCATTGAACGTTCTCGAGAGCCACTGGACATACTTCAGACCCAGCGAGTCAAGCTGCATTGTCCCTTGTTTGTGCTCTCCAGACAGCAGCAAAGGCAACAGTCCGTAATGGCTGCAGTCACACAGTGCTCGGAACTCACGGACGCTGGTGATAAGGTTGTTGAGCTTAAAGAGGAAGACGTGTTCCTCCTTCTCCAACACCCCCAATCCCGATCTCAATATCGTCATCGTCAAACCCTCTTTGGACGCTCTCTGGGTCGCCACAATCGCCAAAAAACCAACCGGAGACGTCTCATGTGCCGCGTCTCCATTTGCTTCCATCTTCACGCCTTTAGACGACGTCAGAGCCTTACGAAAGTAGTCTTGGTCGGTTGTAATCAGCACCAAATCATTCATAAACACGTCGTTAAGATGATCCCAGCCACTCTTGCGTCGCATCCCCGGGATGTTCTGTTTCTTCGGATCAACTCGAATCTTGCAGCTCTTGGAAATAAACGTCGCTCCAAAGCCCTTGATAGTCACAGGAATGGGGTTGGGTTGATCTGTCGTCACTGCATTGATCGTCTGAGCCTGCACTTCCTCCAGCGCCAGAGGCTTCCAGACCGAGAAATAATGTTCATAGGAGCGAAACTTGCTCGGAACCTTCTCAACTTCTATCTCCACCTCGCCTTCCTCTGACCCGTCATTCGCTGTATTGAGCGCGTGACTGCCCTGCGCTTCTCTTTTCAATGCCTCGTAAAATTTCCACTCCAAAATCTCGTCGAAAAAGTTGTCCAACGTGTGAGTCGACGGCACGCCGCTATACGAGACCGTTGCCTGCCTTCGCTCAGCATTTACTTGCATATTGGCGCGTTTCTGCTGCTTCATAGGCCGTCGATGAGCGTCAGACGCTTCGTCCTTCACTAGCAACGACGTATTTCCATTCCGCTTGGTTTCTTTCTTGGCTGCAGCCGCCACTTTCTTCACTGCTTGCGCTGCTGTCTGCTTGGGCTTAACAGGAGGAGGCGGCGGTGGCGTTTCCAGCATTTTGGTCGAGCGTTTGACCTTCTTCATCTTCATCTTGGCTCGTCTAGGCTTCTTGCCTTGGTCCGACTCGTCGCTATCAATGACTTTCCTCTTATTGACGCGGACGCGGCGCTTCGCCATCTCTTCCTCGGACGACGCAGAGTCCGACAGCTCTTCAGCTTGTTCACTAGCGTCTCCTTTCTCTCTTGCAGCGGGCTTCCACTCGTCCTCCGACTCGTCATCGCCCTACGGCCAGAGTATGCAAATGACCAGTCAGAACGAGGTGTTTTTCTCAATGTTCTTACATCTACTGTGGTCTTTTAAGGGTCTATCTAGCTTAAGGAAGCTAATGTGCTTAAGAACGGACCTGACGCACGCGTTGCGCGTGTTGTGCGATCAATTTGGCCATCCGCGGGGCGCGGGTGCCCGACACGGCTTCTAAACGCGTGGAGCGCCGCATCTTGTACGGAATTAGGCAAAAGAACAGCTACAGTCTCAACTGTCTATACAAAGCTCTCGCGCGTCCCACAGAGCACCAAATTACACCGGATCTGCGCAAGAGGAAGGACACGGATCTCTTCTTTCCCACTACGCGCTTTTCGCAGGCGGAAAAGGTCTGCTGCTTCTTGGAGGGCGGCGCGGGCGGACTCGGCAAATGAGCAAATGACCAGACGGAGTGCGCACTCGTTGGATAGATGTAACGAGAATGTCGTCTGAACGTGATGTAGGTTCAAGCAACATGCAGATCAAAAGTCACTTCAAATTGGGCAAAAATACACTTTACACTCGCTTTTAGTAGCGAATGAGAGATCAACGTGACTGTCTCCGCACGCTGATCGCGGGTCCGTTGCCATTGCTGACTTCGACGCCGTTGCCGTTCGCGACTGGCATGCGGCCGTTCATCTTCTGGCTCACCTTTTCCTGCTTGATGTTGCGCAAGTAGTTAGGAGACTTGAGGAACTTGTTGGGCGTGCGAGCACCTGTGACCCACGGATGTGCCAGCGCCTGCTCTGCCGTGAATCGGTTGGTCGAGTCCACCTCTGTCAGAGCGCAGTTTATGCAGGTGAGAATGCCTGCGAGTGTACAGCCATCGATGAAAGAGCTCATGTGCCTACCTAGCAGATTGCGAAGGAGATCTTTTGCACTCTCGGACAAGCCGCTGGCCCAGCGAGGAAAGCGAAGGCCAAATTTTGCCTGCTCAAACAAAAGTTGGGTAAGTAAGCGATCAGACTTCGATTATTGCCACCTACTCGAGCAGCCTTTTCGTTGGCGATCTTGCCCCCGTCATCGTCGAAAGGCAGACAGCCGCAGAGCAAGACGTACACGATGATCCCAAGCGCCCACATATCCACGGACATGGAATATGCTTGGCGCTGCAGCATCTCCGGCGCGAGATAGCCTCTAGTTCCTAAGAACGAGGCCGTTTTGTCGTCTGCGTCCAGCAGCTTCGCCAGTCCGAAGTCGATAATCTTCACGGAGGCTCCACGAGACTTGCTCGTCAGCATCAGATTTTCTGTACCAAGGAAAACAAGAGTGACGTTAATACGTTGAAGTTGCAACGGTGAGTGAGCCATAGTACGTACCAGGTTTAAGGTCGCGGTGAATAATTCCGCGTGCGTGTAAGTACGCAACGGCTGACGTGATCTGGCGGACAATGGTGCTCGCTTCCACCTCCGACAACGTCCCCCTATCGACGACATAGTCAAACAGCTCGCCACCACTCATATACTCTGTCACCTGCAATTATACATTCATAGTATCAGCTACTGTGTTAAACATTCGTTTTTGCGGAATTCGCACCATGCAGAGCTTCGAGTCAGACAGGAATACGTCTTCAATGTGAATGATGTTCGGGTGCTTGAGCGACTGCAGCACTTGAATCTCAACCTTATCCACCATCAAAAAAGCGTCAGCAATCCATTCAAAGCAGCACGCAGCCGTCAAACGTCACTACCATCTCCTCGCATGTGACTCACTTGAAATTGCTCCATCACAACGTTGTGCTCACACTCAACAGCGCGGCGATCAATGATCTTGCAGGCTCGCACAGTTCCTGTGCGTCGTTCGTGGCACTTGTACACGACTGAGGTGCCTCCGTGCCCTGTTAAAATCCACACGAGATTATCAGAAAACTGCGTACCATACGCTCTTCCCTGAAAGAATTACCAATCTCATCCAACATCTCGTACTTGGATTCCATGCTCCCGCTACTGTACGAGGGACCCTGTAGCATAATCGGCTAGGTAGTGCAGTGGCATTAGACACACAGCTCGCTCGTCAGCAACAAAGCTACTGCCATAATACAGACTGGACGGGTCTTGGTACCTGTGGGGCTGACGTCACCGGCCGTGACCCGACGACGAGCATTTCCCGGTCATGCTTGAAGCCGTTGGGTCGCCTTTTACCGAGGTGCAGTTCGTCCCGACCTTTCACACCACAGCACCACGACTGCGCAGCGCCCATCGAATCTCGCTGTGTGCCTGAGACGCCCCGCCAACCGCCAATTGAATCCGCGTCGGCAGATTCCGTTATGCGAGTGATCTGCCTTCAAGACCTAAATGATCTATCTGATTTGACAGGGATGTGCACTTCCTTTTTTTTCGAGCGCAATGAAATCTTCAAAACGTCTTTTTTAAAAAAAAAAAAATCTTGAAAGACGTTTCTGCCTCGGCCATGGAGCTCTGAAGCCAATCTTGAGCACTTTTGGTAGCATCGGTATTCCAATGTGTACCCCCATTCTTGTTTGGTGCCGAGGGTGATCAATTAACAGGTCCGGCGGACCTGCTACGCTGTAGGTCACCTACTAGGTGTGCACCGGTCCTTTCAAGCTAAACGCAGCGTGATTCACTGTGGGCTTACACAGTCGATCGACTGTCGGAAGTCCATGTGTAACACATTGTCCTCTATCGAATTCTGCTTTGTATCTACTACACAAACGACGGACATCAAGAGTCACTGTTTGCCACTGGTGATTGCCTTACATTGAGTACGATACACGAGTCAGCATTCAGAGTGATGGTCCTTCAATCCACACATGGCTACATCCCATGCAACTCTTCACAGCACTGATCTACCATGGCTGACGACGAGGTGGCGACGCTCGAACGCGAACTGGAGACTCTAAAGCTGCAGCTGGAGAAGGAACGTAAGAAGAACGCGGCTGAACAGGACGACAGCAGAAGTGATACCAAGCAGGAGCGAAAGCCCGAGCAAGGAGCAACTCCGGAGGGCACTAAGTCGCAGCGACGAGGTGGCGACAAGAAGGCTGCCCCATCCTCAAAGGAACCGCGCATCTACGTGCAACACGCTGCAGTAGGATCTCGGCGCGGCAAGTGGTGGCTCCGCGAACGCCAAGTGCTCTCGCGAACCATAGCGGATGAAGACGGCGCAGTGACTCTTAAAGTGCGGGAAACCTGGGTCTGGAGCGGCCGGACAGTGATCCTCGACAAGATCGTGCGACTAGACGAAGAGACGCAGGAAGACAAGCGGGCAGTGGGGGTGGAGAAAGATAAACCAGAAATCGCGAAGGAGGAGCCCGACAACAAGAACAAAGTGCCATTTGAAGCTACTCCCTCTTCAGTGCAGCCATCCAAAGAGGCAGAAACAAGCGCGGAAGCAGTAGTAGATTCAAAGGCTGTGGTGACAGCGACCAAAGCTAATGACGAAGTGCGCAAAAGCTCAGCACCAGCTCATGGTGATGCCAGATAGTAGATTGTAGTGACCCGATATATAGGGTGGATGTCCCTCTAGTGGGATTGAATTCAAATCAGAGTCCGAACAGTTTTTTTGTACGATTTCTGCTTTGAATCACGAATAAAAAACTGGAGTAAATTCGGTGACAGCACCATAATTGCATTCCGACGGGATTCTTAGCGTCGCATGATGACTGTCTAATAGACAGTGTCTAAACTGATGACTGCTTGTGTCCATCTCGCAAAGACGACGCTTCAACCGTGATATGCGTGTCTGACCGATCACAAAGCGCCTGATGCAGTGAAATGCTCATTCTCAATTTTTCTTCCTCAACAACAAGCACCCACACGAATGGAGCCGATGCGACGACCTGGCGAAGCGCCCTCAGTCTACGAGAACTGGACAATTAATGAGACTGTGTTGCTCGGAGTACGGTCGCGATAAATACTACGGGGGTTATAGCCAACGACCGAACTGACTGAAGTTGCTTGAAATACAGGAATCCATCATCGAAACGATCATGTTCGGATTGACTTTGCAGTGGAACGTCAAGAGCGTGAGGGACTTCGTCAATGCGGCCAACTCAAATACGATTTCCGATGAGAAGCGCCCCGTGTGGATATCCCAATCTCGAGGTCAGATCACTGAGCAAGTGTTCAAGAGCGACGTTATGGCTTGCCTAGCCGTGGTTGCTGGTGGACCAGCCCAAGAGAATGATCTGGCACCGAACACGATCTGGCAACACATGAATATTGTTAAACGTCTCGGCCAAATCGAAAACGATCCGTTCGTCCAGTCATGCATGAGCCAGCTCGATCTCGATACCTACCTCGCTGTTGTCTTCTTGCGCCACGAACCGGGCTTTGATATTCAACCAATGCGCTCTGATCCTCCAATACCACCAAATCGACAGGTCTTCTATTAAGAAGAATTAAAGGAAGACTCACTTTAATTGCAAAAGTTAGGATTCTATTCCTCATAATATGCTTATATTATAAGCAACGATGCTTTGTTTACCACTCGGAGACTGCGTGGTCCTTAAAGAACTGACTAAATAGCGGTTTCTTTGTACTTCTGTATCCGATTGGATGATATTATTATCTTATTGCAATGGGTTGTTAGTAGTACTATGGAATGTATAGTATTGTTATTAATAAACAGGCAGATGTAGGACGGTTCTAGAAGCTTCCATCCGTCTGAACTGCGGAAGCGGCACTTTTCTTTTGGCGCGCTCTCCCCCAAGCTCCCCTGACTTCGATAAACTGGTTGCACTTGTTGGTCCCAGCAACCTGACAACAAAGAGCCCATGCCGACGAACGCGCAGCTTCAAGCCGAGATCGACCGGCTAAATCAAGCGATGGCGGAACGCACACGAGTGCCCAGCAACCTGCCCAAGCTCACCGGCAAGAGGGAGGAAGCCGTGCGCGAATGGCTGTTCCAGGTCGAGAACGCCTGCCGCATTAACAGGATCGCAATCGACGACGCGAACCCAAAAATACCAGGAATCGCCGGGTCGGCGATGGAGATACCGGCTTTGGGGTGGTTCCTGCGCTGGGCTTCGACGAAACGAGTGGAAGAGCACACGTGGGGAATTTTCCGTGAGCATGTGCTCCAACACTTCGAGGCGTCGAACTACCAGTCAGTGCAACGAGATAAGCTCCAGCGTCTGAAGCAGACAGCGGATATCGAGACTTACAACGGTGAATACGCAGCCCTCATCTTTCGAGTCGAAGGCATGAGCGTGCTTGACCAAGTCCTGTTCTACGCAAACGGTCTCAAGCCTCGCACGCGAAGCTACGTGAAGCTCATGAATCCGGAGACACTGAGTAACGCCATGGACTTAGCTGTCAAGTTGGAGGTGACTAACTTTGTGGAGGACGCTAGTGAGCGCAAGGTTCGTCATGAGAAGACGAAGACCTCTAATGAGCAACCTCAAGACAACAAGAAAACGTCCAAAGGAAAACCCTTCCGAGGAAAGGGACGGTTTAAACCGAGCTCGAATTTGAAGAGCAAGGAGACTCGTACCTGCCACTTCTGCAACAAAACTGACCACATCAAGGCCAACTGCTTTGCGTGGAAGAAGGAGCAAGGGAAGCAGGGAAACGAGAAGCCACGACAGTGAAAGAGGGTCCTGTCGTGGAGGAGAAAGTAGCCGGAGCGGTTAGGTTTGATAATGTCAGCCTTAATGTTCTATGTGAAAACCCTCTAGTCTACAAGTCACGTCCACTGTTCGCCGTCGGCGGTGATATCAGTGTGGCTGGCAAGATGAAGGAAACATTGAATATGCTTCTAGACTGTGGTGCAACCACGATCTACGTGTCGAAGCGGTGGGTAGAAGAACACCAGCTGAAGACAACGAAGTTCAGCGACAAGAACATTCGAGTCAAGCTAGGAGACAATCAGATTGTGGAGACCCAGCTAGAGGTGCTACCTCTACGTATCTTTGTCGCCGGAATAGACGAGGCGTATGAATGCGTCGCAGTTGTCTAAGCGATATCTGAAGAATCTGGCTGCATCCTTGGAATACCTTTTTTGGAGGACATGCAACCACAGATCGACTGGAGACGTCGACGAATCGAAGGAACAATAGAGAGAACGTTGCGCTGGGAGCGAGCGGGTGAAACCTGTGGGCCAATCGAGGAAGGCGGACCGGTGATTGCCTCCGGGCTTCGGAGATCTGTCGGGGCGAAAGGCCTGTCGGCGAAAAGACCCGATTCCTGTCGAGGTGCCTCGCTGGAAACGAATGTGAAGTCCGCGGTCAGTCCCGTTCACGACTCAGAGCAGAGTGAGACCCCACGATTTGCTTGCGAGCGACTGGAAGACGCGTCAGCTGGCAAGGGTTCAGCAGACGAAGACGAGAGGAAGTCGTCGAGACACGACGGTACTGCTGCTGGGAGCAGCGATACCAGAGGAAGAGAGTCCGTCGTGGAAAAGATGTTCACGATGGGAATCACAGATGAAGCTGGTATTCAGACCAAGTTCATCACGAGAAACAAACTGCGAAAGCTCCTGAGAATCAAGACGAAGTCGATCGAAGAACCAGACTTCATGTTGGTTCTGACGAACGAAATGATCAAAAATGTCGCTCGATCCTTGGAGCGGCGAGACTAGCCCGACAATGTCGGAGCTGCAAAAGCTCAACGTTATCTGGAGACAGACTGGCAAATTTTCCAGGCAAACCCTGCCTTTGACTTGCTGACGAAGTACAAGGACACGGTGTTTCGACCTGAACTCCCTGAAGGTCTTCCGGAGAAGCGTGAATCGAGCACAGGATCGACGTGAAAGATCCCAACCTTGCGATGTACCGGCAACAGTGGCGACAGTCATCTGAGCAACAACGTGAGATCGTGCTCTGGGTTATAGACATGGTGAAGAAGAAACTTATCCGACCAAGTTTCAGCCCACACGCGGCGCAACCTTCTGCGTCCGGAAACCAGTTGGGTGGCGGATCGTTCACGATTATCGGTACTTGAACTTTAATACGATACAGCAGAGCATACCGATGACAAGGAAAGAAGACATACTGGACGCCATGGCCGGAGGGTACTGGCTTTCAACGATGGAATTGGTGTCCGCGTATTATCAAGCTCGTATGCGTGCCGAAGATATCAAGCTCACAGCGTTCCAGGCGCCCAACGGACTCTGGGAGTACCTGGTACTGCCAATGGGAGTATGCAACGCGCCAGCGACGATGCATCGATTGACGTCGAAACTCTTTCGCGATCTGGAGAACACGAAGTCGTTCTACGATGACATCTACATCTTCACGAAGACACAGAAGATTGCAGATCACTTGGAGGCTCTCCGCAAAACATTGGACATCTTGCGAGACAACAAGTTATACGTGAAGCTGTCCAAGTGCGTCTTCTGTGCCGACGAGATTCCATGCCTTGGAGGTTTTGTTGGGAGAAACGGCGTGCGAATGGATCCAGATAAGGTGCAGATCATCAAGGACTGGCCAATTCCAAGAACTCAAGAAAAGCTTCACAGCTTCCTCGGCTTAACTGGATACGTCCAACGATTCTGCCCAGACTACGCGAAGCTGACAGCAAGTATGTTTACTTTGCTCAAGAAGAAGTCCAAGCGCAGTGCGAAGATTCGTTTCGACGAAGAGCAATCGAAGAACTTCAAGGAGCTGAAGAAACGGCTGTGCAATCCACCAGTGTTGCGCTTGCCCGATTTCAACCAGCCTATGCATTTGCGTACGGATGCTAGCAAGTTTGCAGTCGAGGGAGCCCTGTTCCAGGTTGTCGATGGTGTTGAGCTACCCATTGCTTACACCAGTAGGAAGATGAAATCTGCGGAACTCAATTACCCGACGCAGCAGCAAGAACTTCTGGCAATTGTTTACGCGCTGGCAGCTTTCCGGATTAACTGCTTGGACAAGCCACCAATCGTGGAAACGGATCACAAGAGTCTTGAAGGTCGCTTTACTCAAAAGATGGCGAGCCGTCGTCTCGCGCGCTGGTACGATATCCTCGCGGAGTATCAGCCAACGCTCTCATACCTTCCAGGTGCGAAGAACGGAATCGCAGACACGCTTAGCCGAAGACCAGACTTGCAACCGGAGACGAAGTATTTATATGACTTGAGTGTGACCAGCTTCAATGATGCGTCCTTCAGCTTAGCAGTCAGCGAGGTGACCACTGACAGCGAGTTGATAACCAAGATCAAAAAGGCGTACAAGAGAGATCGAGAAGCAAAAGCGATTTTCACAGCAATCTAGCGGCGTGCAGATAGCCAGCAGGCGAAAGCCAGGCGACAACAGAAGAAACAATATCGCTGCTATTCGGAAGACAACGGTTTGCTGTGGTACCAGACTCCATCCGACGATATCCACGTATCGTAGTGCCCAACGATGTGAAGTTGAGGCAGGTGGTCATCCGTGAGTGTCACGACTCCAACTACGGGGGATATCCGGGAGCGGAGCGGACGTACTTGACATCGACTAGGCGGTGGTACTGGACCAAGATGTTGAAGTCAATCCAATCGTACATTGCCGACTGTGGGCCCTGTCGGCGGAACAAACCGAGGCTAACGAAGCCACCAGGATTCCTGGGACCATTACGTGTTCCCGACGAGCGGTGGAGATCGATTTCGATGGACTTCATCACCGACTTGCCACGAACAAAACGAGAAGTAGATTCCATCTGGGTCGTCGTCGACCGACTGACAAAGCGATGTCACTTGCACCGACTACGAAGAAGGTAGACGGCGAAGGCGTTGCCCGCCTCTTCATCGACCATATCTGGAAACTTCATGGAATGCCAACAAGCATCGTGTCCGACAGAGACATGAAGTTCGTTTCAACGATCTGGCAGCACGTCTTCAAATCAATCGGAGCAACGCTCAAGATGACAGTAGCACATCGAGCTCAAGGAGACGGCCGGACGGAGTGGATGAACAGGACACTTGTGCAATATTTGCGGTGCTTTGTGGGCCCTTGTCAAGACGACTGGGATATCCATCTTGCCAATGCTGAGTTCGCAGTGAATTCAACCGTGAACAGTAGTATCAAGATGGCGCCTTTTGAAGCTGATCTCGGATAAGTCCCACTAAACCCGCTTCAACTTGCATCGTGGCAAGGTCCCCACAAGTCAACGTGGTGCTGAGCTCAACGAGCGACAAGCAGCTCTTCTTCGGCGGTGTCAGGAAGCACTGGCGGAAGCGCAAGAGCGAATGCGCGATGTGTACGACCGAAACCGGGTGGAGCAAGTCTTCGAAGTTGGCGACCGAGTGTACTTGAGTACGAAACACTTAGATCGGAAACATACAGGGTTACCCAACTCAAGCAAGCTTGGTCCGAAGTGGATAGGTCCCCTATACGGTGGTGAAGAGGATCCATAATCACGCGTACGAGCTCAACATCCAAGCCGGAAACAAACTTCATCCAGTCTTCAACACCGGATCTTTGAAGCCTTACAAGGACACCACTCGGACGTCAAGGCCCCATGATGTCGTTCTAGCCGATGGTACAGTTGGACAACTCATCCAAAGGCTTCTCGGTAAACGAACTCACAAGCAACGAACCCAATTTCTTGTGGAGTGG